TCCTCAATCGCAGATACTCTTTCTTCCAGTTGATCGAGTCGGTTACTGAAGCTTGTGCATTTGTCACGTATTTCTCGTGTCATGGTTTTCATCTCTTTCATTTCGTTTAGGACCTTCTCTGCATTAATTACTCTAGCCATCAATTCTTCCACTTTTTTTTCAAGATTTTTAGTTTCTTTGTGCTGGGTACGTAATTCCTCCTTTAGCTCTGAAAAATTTGATGGACTGAAGCCTTCTTCTCTCATCTCGTCAAAGTCATTCTCCGTCCAGCTTTGATCCGTTGCTGGCGATGAGCTGCGCTCCTTTGCCGGGGGAGATGCGCTCTTATTTTTTGAATTTCCAGCTTTTCTGCCCTGCTTTTTCCCCATCTTTGTGGTTTTATCTGCCTCTGGTCTTTGATGATGGTGATGTACTGATGGGGTTTTGGTGTAGGTGTCCTTCCTGTTTGATAGTTTTCCTTCTAACAGTCAGGACCCTCAGCTGTAGGTCTGTTGGAGATGGCTTGAGGTCCACTCCAGACCCTGTTTGCCTGGGTATCAGCAGCAGAGGCTGCAGAAGATAGAATATTTCTGAACAGCGAGTGTACCTGTCTGATTCTTGCTTTGGAAGCTTCCTCTCAGGGGTGTACTCCACCCTGTGAGGTGTGGGGTGTAAGACTGCCCCTAGTGGGGGATGTCTCCCAGTTAGGCTACTCAGGGGTCAGGGACCCACTTGAGCAGGGAGTCTGTCCCTTCTCAGATCTCAACCTCCGTGTTGGGAGATCCACTGCTCTCTTCAAAGCTGTCAGACAGAGTCGTTTGCGTCTGCAGAGGTTTCGGCTGTGTTTGTTATTGCCCTGTCCCCAGGGGTGGAGTCTACAGAGACAGGCAGGTTTCCTTGAGCTGCTGTGAGCTCCACCCACTTCGAGCTTCCCAGCAGCTTTGTTTACCTACTTAAGCCTCAGCAATGGCGGGCGCCCCTCCCCCAGCCTCGCTGCTGCCTTGCCCCTAGATCACAGACTGCTGTGCTAGCAATGAGGGAGGCTCCGTGGGCGTGGGACCCTGCCGGCCAGGTGTGGGATATGATCTCCTGGTGTGCCTGTTTGCTTAAAGCGCTGTATTGGGGTGGGAGTTACCCGATTTTCCAGGTGTTGTGTGTCTCAGTTCCCCTGGCTAGGAAAAGGGATTCCCTTCCCCCTTGTGCTTCCCAGGTGAGGCGATGCCTCGCCCTGCTTCAGCTCTCGCTGGTCGGGCTGCAGCAGCTGACCAGCACCTATCGTCCGGCACTCCCCAGTGAGATGAACCCTGTACCTCAGTTGAAAATGCAGAAATCACCGGTCTTCTGTGTCGCTCGCGCTGGGAGTTGGAGACTGGAGCTGTTCCTATTCGGCCATCTTGCTCCGCCCCCTGGAGTTTCCCAGGATTGTATTCTCAATCTAAAGCTTACAAGCCAGAGGTGAGGCTCAAACCCCTCATGGACACACACACAAACATGACCGCTGCCACACCAAACGCAGTCACTTCCCAGAGGTAGTCATGATATTAATTTTGTGCGGACCCTTCTACATATTTTTCTGTCCACTTATGTGTTACTGGCTAATTGATCAAGGACAATTTGCGGCATGATTAAACACGCTTTATTTTTCTTCCCATCATCTCTTCAGAACTTGTCGAGTGGGGGGTAATCATCTCTTGCCACTAGATGAACAATAGGGCCATTCTAGAGGCTCTCTGGCCAGTCATAGGTGATGGACACTTCCACGTTTTCTTCCTTGTAAGACAGAGGGTCCATCTGGAAATTTTGAATATCCAGTGTAAGGTACACAACAAACCATCCTATGCCAGAGGGGAAAAAACTGAGCCTAAATATGATCAAAACAATCAGTGGTTTTCAATGTTGGTTGCATACTGGGATGATCTGAGGTAGTTTAACAAATTCCTGTGTCTCAGTTTCCCCCCCGAGTCTCTGATGTAATTGCTCTTGGATTTGCCTGGGCTTCAGGGATTTTTAATGTATGTATTTATTTATTTTATTTTTTTGAGACCCAGTCTCACTCTGTTGCCCAGGCTGGAGTACAGAGGCGTGATCTCAGCTCACTGCAACCTCTGCCTTCCGAGTTCAAATGATTCTCCTGACTCAGCCTCCTGAGTAGCTGGGACTACAGGCACCCACCAACACACCTGGCTAATGTTTGTGTTTTAGTAGAGTCAGGGTTTCACCATGTTGGCCAGGCTGGTCTCAAACTCCTGACCTCAGGTGATCCGCCAGCCTCGGCCTCCCGAAGTGCTGGGATTACAGGTGTGAGCCACCGTGCCTGGCCAGCTACAGGGTTTTTAAGAGCTCCCCAGATAATTGTAGTGAGCTACCTTTGAGAATCACTGCTCTGGATTTAACATCCAATTTATAGAAAATACAGGGGAAAGGATAGAACAGCATGGAGTGCAATAAGCAATAGCCACACTGGAACACGCTATAGGACAAACACGCAGTTTCTTTCCTTTCTTTCTTTTTTTTTTTTTTTTTTTTTTTTTGAGACAGAGTCTCGCTCTGCTCTGTCACCCAGGCTGGAGTGCAGTGGCGCTACCTTCGCTCACTGCAAGCTCCGCCTCCTGGGTTCAGGCCATTCTCCTGCCTCAGCCTCCAGAGTAGCTGGGACTACAGGTGCCCGCCACCATGCCAGGCTAATTTTTTGCATTTTTAGTAGAGACTGGGTTTCACCGTGTTAGCCAGCATGGTCTCAATCTCCTGACCTCGTGATCCGCCCACCTCTGCCTCCCAAAGTGCTGGGATTACAGGTTTGAGCCACCGCACCTAGCAACACTCAGTTTCTTTACAAAAAGTTGTAAGAATAAAAGGTGAGGAGGAGAGAGGAACCTACAGGTTAAAAGCGACTAAATTGCTAATTGCAATGTGTAAAGAGATCTTTTTGGATCTTCAGGTGAACAAAGAAAACATATGAAAAGTTTTACACATCAAACAGGAATATTCGAACATTCAGTAGATATTTGATATTAACGGATTGTTTTTAATTTTGAGGTTATAATAATGTGGGTTTTTTTTATTTTTATTTTTTAAACTTTTATTTTAGGTTCATGGGTACATGTGCAGGTTTGTTACACAGGTAAACTCATATTATGGAGGTTTGTTGTACAGACTGTTTTATCACCCAGGTACTAACCTAGTACTCAATAGTTATTTTTTTCTGCTCCTCTCCCTCCTCCCTACCAAAGGCTTTGGGTAGGCCTCAGTGTCTGTTGTTTTATTTTTAAAACAGTTTCTATGTTTCAGAGACATGTTGAAATAACTGAATGAAGTATCTCCAGATTATATATCTGAGATTTACGTGAAAAGAAGCCTATGAGAGGGAGGAGTGGGTGAGGGTGTAGATTAAAAAAATGATTGGCCATGAGTTGATAATTGTTGAAGCTGGGCAATGGGTACACAGGGAACTTGGTATTCTGTTTCCTCTCTTTTTGTATGCTTAAACATTTCCAAAATAAGAAGTTTTTTTTAGAATGCTTAGTCCAAGATGTTAACAATTTAGTGCTTATTTAAGGATAGAACATTTTTTTCCCATTACAGCGTGCAGTTCTTGGCTTCTTTTTTTCCCACTACACTGTGCAGTTCTTCTTTTGGGGAGACAGGTGTGACCATCTGTCCTGTTCCTTGCCCACCCCCACCGCCTCTCTCTTGCTGACCGTTGCTTCCCAAGGCCAAGGCCAGAGGGCGGAGTAGACATGAGGGCATTAAACCATTAGACAGCTCTCATTTACTGAGTGGTCTTGGGCTCCCACCCTGGCTGGTTTTACAGCTGGCTTTTCCTGGGTTTGGTCACTTTGCTTGTGTTATGGATCAATTTTGTTCTCCCAAAAAACTTTTTTTTTTTTTTTTTTTTTGAGAGTCTCGCTCTGTCGCCCAGGCTGGAGTGCAGTAGCATGATCTCAGCTCACTGCAGCTTCTGTCTCCCAGGTTCAAGCAATTGTTCTGCCTCAGCCTCCTGAGTAGCTGGAATTACAGGCGCCCGCCACCATGCCTGGATAATTTTTTTGTATTTTTATTAGAGACGCGGTTCACCATGTCGGCCAGGCTGGTCTCGAAACTCCTGACCTCAGGTGATCCACCCGCCTTGGCCTCTCAAATGCTGGGATTATAGGCGTGAGCCACTGTGCGCAGCCCCAAAAGACATGTTGAGCTCCTAACCCCAGTACCTGTGAATGTGCCTTTATTTAGAGATGAGGTCTTTGCAGATGTAATCAAATTAAGATGAGGTCAGACTGGGTGCTGTGGCTCATACCTGTAATCTCATCACTTTGGGAGGCCAAGGTGGGCAGATCATTTGAGGTCAGGAGTTTGAGACCAGCCAGACCAACATGGTGAAACTCCATCTCTACTAAAAATTCAAAAATTACCTGGTGTGATGGTGCAAACCTGTAATCCCGGCTACTCGGGAGGCTGAGGCAGGAGAATCGCTTCAACCTGAGAGGTGGAGGTTGCAGTGAGCCGAGATGGTGCCACTGCACTTGAATGAGGTCATGCTGGATTACGATGGGCCCTAAATCCTATGACTGGTGTCCTTACAAGGAAAGAGATTTGAAAACACAGAGGAGACACAGGTGAAATAAGGCCATGTGAAGACAGAGGCAGGGCTTGCATAAGCCAAGGAATGCCAAGGTTGGCAACCAAAGGAGTTAGAAGCAAGGAAAGATTATTCCGTAGAGACTTTAAAGGGAGCATGGCTCTGCTGATACCTTGATTTTGAACTTTGAGTCTGTAGAACTGTGAGACAAGTTTCTGTTGTTTTAAACCACCCAGTTTGTGGTACTTTCTTACAGTAGCCCTAAGAAACGAATACACCCGATCCAGACCTTCCCAGCTCTGGGGATGCCTCTTCTGCTGCACGCTGTGTATTTGGTCCCCGGGGTTGCCAGCTCCAACTGTGGCTCCCAGGAGCCCAAGCAACACATACTCCTGCAATTGGGGTCCCTCACCTTTGCCGCTGGGTCCACTTGGGCAGGACTTGCATTCTTCTGCCCTAAGTGGTTCAAAGAGTTTGAGTGGGTACACTCTGGTACTAGAGAAAATCTGAAGCAATTCACCAAGTTGGATGAAAAAGGACTTACGTACCCTTGATTTATTAAAATTCATTGTTTTATGTACATTTCTCTTTAATAAAACTCTGAAATGAACATTTGTTTATGCAGTATGATATGATTTAACAATTTATATGACAAGCTTAATAAGGCTGACATTCAATGAACAGAAAAGTAATTTATCGTTTAGTAATCAGAAAAACTTTCAATCCATTTTTATTTTATTTTTAAGTGTCTTTTATTAAAGCTTGTGATTTTTTTATTAATGTAAACAAGCCAAAGGGTGATTGTTTTTGACACATGGCATTGTACCATAGTGTAATGGGTAGTTTCCTTCTCAGTTAACCTTCAATACTCTGTACACACTATTCTGAAATACTGTGGTGAAGTAAGGCCTCGCATCTTTGAGCAGGACGCTACATAAGGGAGGGTTCGCTGCATTGGAAGGGTCTTCCACATCCCAGATTTCAAGCATACTGCAACCAGGCCTGAAAAAAGATAGACATATATATCCATATTAGAAATGTATTCCTGTCTAGAGAAAATAGATACATAACACAACATCTAGATTTTCAAAGACAAATTTATTAAATATTTTAAAGCGTCATTTCAAAAAACATAATTTCAGTGTTTAGAAATTTAAAAAATAGAATGAAATTAAGTATGTTGCATTTTCACATCTCATTTAACCGAATGAAAGACATATCCTACAATAAAGCTTCAATATACATTCATAAATATATATTTAAAAGCTCACTTTCAAGATGAAACAAACACAAATGTACTTTCCCAGTACCATCACCATCTAAACATAAGGCCCATTTGTAGTAAAATAAGACAACTTAAAACCTAATCGAATTCCTGATGAATTTCATATTTTTTAGCATAAACTGTCTTGGATTAGCATGAAATCATCCAAGGCAGGGACAGGAGACTCTCATGGCAGTTTGTTTTCTTCAGTGCTTTCCCGTTTTGGGCGGCTGTATGACTGGGCTACACGAGACACTGTTCCTCCCCGGAGAGTAACCCTGCATGGCAGTCATTAAAGGGAAGGAGTCAGGCAAAACTGATGTCTAATTTTTTAACATCTATATTGAAGTATAAGTTACACACAATAAAATTCACCTACTTTATGGGTAAAGTTTGGCAAGTATGGGCAAATGTGTATAGATGTGCGAGCACTACCACAATCATAATACAGAAAATTTCCATCACCCCGACAAGTTCCCTGTGCCCTTTTGCAATCTACCTCCTTCCCCAAACATGGCCTCAGGCAACTACTGTGCTTTCTGCACTATAGTTTTGCTTTTTCTAGGATTTCATATAAATATATTATTAGTCTTTTCACTTTTGGCTTCTTTACCATAGCATGTTTTTGATATTCATATCTGAGCTGTAGTTCCTACAACTTCTGTTGAGGTTCAGTAGTTCCTTCCTTTTTGTTGCTAAATAATATTTCATTGTATACAGAGAGCACAATTTGTTTATCCATTTGCAAGTTAATGAACATTTGAGATGTTTTGAGTTTTTGGTGACCATGAACAATGCCGCTATAAACATTCATGGACAAGGTTTTTTGTGGACGTGTGTTATCATTTCTCTTAGGGAAACACCTAGAAGTGGAATTGCTGGGTTGCATGGTTATGTTTGATTAAGTGTGGATTTATCTTTATAAGCAAGTTCAAAACTGTTTTCCAGAGTAGATGCACCATTTTCCATTTCCACCATCAATGCATGAGAGTTTGAGTTGTATCAGTTTTTGTAATTTTAATCATTATAGTATGGTTATGGATGATTCAGAATATCTTCTTTGGTGGAATGTCTATTTAAATATTTTGCCAAATTTTGTGTTCTTATTGAGGTGTGAGAGCTCCTTGTATATTCTGGGTAAACGTCTGCCAGATTTTTTTAGCAGATGTATTAAGGCATAATTGCTCAATAATTACTCAATAAGCTGCACATATTTAGTATCCACTTTGATACATATTAACATGTGTATACAACTGTAAAACAGCAGCCACAATAAAAGTCATGAACATATCCATCTCTCCCAAAAGTTTACTTCCGCCCTTTTGTAATCCTAATTATTGCATGCTTTCTTTTTTGACTGGATTCTTGTCCTCAGTAGAATTATTTTGAGATCCATCCATATTGCTGTATCAATAGTTCGTTCATTTTTATTAGTATTTACATTGTCTGGATATTCTAATAGTGTGTTTATATATTCATCTGTTGATAAATAAGCAGGTCGTTTCCAGTTTGGGGCTATTACAGAAAATAAGGTGCTATGAACATTTGTGTACAATTACTGGGATGGATATATGCTTTCTTTTATGTTAATAAATATAGTAGTTATATGTTTAACTTTTAATATAATTGCTACACTGTCTTGCAGAGTGGTTGTACCCTATTACTTTAGCACCACTGGTGTATGAGAGTTCTAAGTCCTCCATAGTGTCAGCAACACTTGGCATCATCAGGTTTTCTTTTTTTTTTTTTTTTTCAATTATAGCTATTTAGCTATTTTATTAAGTGTTTAGTGATATCTCACTGTAATTTGCATTTGCATTTCACAAATCACGAGTAACATCAAGCATCTTTGTGTGTGATTATTTGCTATCTGTCCTTTTGTCCTTTTTTAAAAAAATTTTTTTATTTTTGAAACAAGGTCTTGCTCTGTCACCCAGTGGAGTGCAGTGGCACAATCTCGGCTCACTGCAACCTCCGCCTCCTGGGTTTAAGCGATTATCCAGCTTCAGCCTCCCGAGTAGCTGGGATTATATGCGCCCACCATCACGCCTGGCTAACTTTTTGTATTTTTCCAGGCTGATCTCCAACTCCTGACCTCAGGTGATCCACCCACCTCTGCCTCCCAAAATCCTGGAATTACAGGTGTGAGCCACCCACTGTGCCCAGCCTCTTTTGTCCATTTTTAATTGGATTGTTTTCTTACTATTGGGTTTTGAGAGTTCTTTATACATCTAGAGAAAGTCCTTTATCAGACATAGGCTTTGAAAATATTTCCTCCCAGACTGTGGTTTATCTTTTAATTCTTCCTAATACTGTTTATGAAAAAGCAGAGGTTTACAGTTTTAATGAAGTCCTATTTATCAATGTGTTCTTTTGTGGATCATGATGATGTTACTGTATCTGAGAAATCTTAGCCTAATCCAAGGTTACAATAATTTTCTTCCATATTTTCTTCTAGAAATTTTATATTCTTAGATTCTTAGTAGCAAGTTACCTTCTACTCCTAGTTTGCTGAGAGTTTTTAATCAGTTGTGGATACTGAATTATGTCAAATACTTTTTCCTGAATGTACTGAGAGGATGATGGGGTCTTTCTTTTTCAGTTTGTTACTATGGTGAATTCACCTAATTGGTTTTCAAATAGTGAGATAACTTTGCATTCCTGGGATAAACTCCACTGGTACATTGTGTATTGTCTTTCTTTAATATATTGCTGATTCATTTGTTGCAATTTTACTTAAAAATTTCACATATGTGTTCATGATACATTTTGATTGGTTGTTTCCTTTTATTGTAATGTTTCTCTCATGTTGGTTTCAGGATAATGCTGACCTCATAGAACCAGCTGGGAAGTAATCCTTCCTTTTGAATTTTCTGGAATAGTTTGTAGAATTGGAATTATTTCCAGTGAAGATATCTGTCTTAATGTTTTCTTTGTGACAATTCTTTTTACTACAAATATAATTTTATTAATAGATATAAGGTCATTCATAATAAGGTAATAGATATAAGATTTTCTATGTCTTAAGTGAGCTTTGGTTTTGCATCTTTCAGGGAACTTCTCCATTTTATCTATTTTGTCCTACTTAGTGGAGTAAAGTTGTTCCTAAAACTCCCTCATTATCCTTTTCATTCTTCAGATCTTGTAGTGATAAAATCTTTCTTATTCATGATATTAGTAATTTCTGTCTTCAATCTTTTAGTTTGGGTAGAAGTTAATCAGTTTTATTAATCTTCTCAAGAATCAGTGTTTGGTTTTATTGACTTTTCCCCGTTTTGAGGGGAAATTCACACTGATTTTGATTCTAATTTTTATGCTTTCTTTTCTTCTCCTTAATTTGGAGTTTACTTGTTCTTTTCTTCTAGTTCCTTAAGGTGAAGCCGAGTGACTGATATGAGGCCTTTCTTCTTTTTCTATTATAGGCATTCAACATAAAAACAAATCTCTCTACTGCTGTATCTGCATCCCACAAATAGTGGGATGGTGTTCTCATTTTCCCTTAGGTCAAAATACATTGAAACTAACCCTCCTTTTGTTTCTTCTTGACCATGGATTATCTGGAAGTGTATTACTTAGTTTCTAAACATTTGAGGGAATTTCCACATAGAATTCTGTTACTTATTTCTTACTTAATTTCATTGTAGTCAGAGATTGTACTTTACATGATCTAAAGTATTTTAAATGTGTCAATACTTGTTTTGTGGCCTAGAAACTGGTCTTTTTTGATAAATAGTCTGTGTGTGCTTGAATGTCTATGTTGCTGTTCTAGGGTGGTGTGTACTATAAATGTCAATTAGGTCATATTGGTTGATTGCGTTATTCAAATCTTCTGTATTCTTGCTAAATTTCTTTTTATTCTACAAATTATTTAGAGAAGACTATTAAAATTTCTAACTATTCTGTAGATTAGTCTATTTTTTCCTAAAGTTCTATCAGTTGTGCTTCATATATTTGAAGCTCTGTTATCTGAGTGCATAAATGTTCAGGGTTGCTACATTCTCTTGAAATATAAATCCCTTCATTTAAAAATCCTTGTTTAATCTTGATAATATTCTTAGCATTCAAATGTACTTTGATGTTATTACAGCCACACCAATTTTCACTGACTAGTAGTAGCATCGCATGTCCTCTTCCTATCTGTTAACTTTTAACCTCTTCGTTTCTTTATATTTAAATAAATTTCTTGAAAGTAGCCTATAGTAGGGTCTTGCTTTGCTATGCAATCTGACAATTCTTGCTTTTCATTTGTGGTGTTTAGAACTATATTAGTTTCCTATTGCTGCTATAACAAATTACCACAAACAGTTGCTTAAAGCAACATGTATTTATTCTCTTTCAAATTTTGGAGCTCATAAGTCTAAAATCACGGTATTGGCAGGACTCCAATCCTTCAGGAGGTTCGAGAAGAAAATCCACTTCCTTGCTTTTCCAGCTCCTAGAAGCTGGCCTCATTCCTTGGCTTGTGGCCTTATATCACTCCAACTTCTGCTTCTACCATCATATCACCTTTTTGATCTCTTACTCTTTTACCTCCTCCTTATACTTTGTGATTACATTTGTCCTACCTGGATAATAAGGATAATCTCCACATCTCATGAGCATTAATTTAATCACATTTGCAAATTTCCTTTTTCCATGTAACGTAATTCACAATTTCTGGGAATTAGGACATGGCCATCGTGGGGGGCTCATTATTCAGCCTACCACAAGTCCATTTACACTTAATGTGATAATTGAT